CGCATTACTACAGCTGTTATGTAATACCAATCCCACAGTCTATGACAGTGCGGCTCAAGTAGCAAACACTTGAAATGAAAATCACACAAAAGTGTTGAAATGATGAGAAAAAAGTAAAACTTTATTTTTCAAAAACAATACTACAGTAGTAGTTGTGTAACACTTATGTGGGGTTTGTGTCCCAATGCCTTACTAAAGGATTCACTTTGCAAAACATTATGCCTGGGTTTGCCAAAACATTTATTGTTTTTATTGTTTTCAATTTTTGTTTCATATTTTCTCATATTTGTGGCAATACTTTGAATAAGTGTTTCAAACAAAAATCATACAATTCATAGCATTTATGTTTCGCTGCAATCAATATTCAATCCGTTTTAGTGCCGCTGAGACACACATCAATTGCGTCACATTAGTTGTATACACTTTGCACAGGGAGTCAGTCAGAGATAGGGATGAGAACTGAGAAAACTGTGTTTCCAAAGTTTCTTAATGTTTGAATTAAGAGAGTTTAATGCATTGTTTATCATTTTGTATAAACATATCAATTGTTTAATTAAAAAGCAATACATTACTCGATGGCACTGTTTTTCATAGCCCTTACAGTTGGTGCACTGCACTGAAGTGGCATTTAGGGCGCACTACAACTGTTTGACTCTTAATGAAAATGAAATATATTTTGTAAGAAAAGTAAAATTTATTGAATAGTTTAGCCATTCATTTATGAGATGATGTTTGAAAAGATTGTCACATAAGTTGTAATTAAGTCTTTAATTAATTGAGACAAAGAGTGGAAAACTTTTAGATGTCGTTAACGCTATTAATGCTCCTAAAAGCCAAAGGAGAGGCGTTTTGGGTATAGATTTACGCCAATTGTTTGGACTTGTTTTTGCTTTTACTAAAACTGTCGCATTTGTACGGCACTGGCATCACACACACCCTTTCCGCCTTTCCGCTATTTTACTTTGATTGATGATGCCTACAGGGCATACTGTATGGCACTGTTATGCCACACACTATACGATACGCACACAATCCCTCTCAATACATAATATTGTGTATGTGTTATACTCTGCTATACTATCTGTGATGCAAACTAATGCTCGCAAAACACTATTGAAAATGAGTCAAAACCTATCCTTTAATCATATTCTTTGCGCCCAATATTGTCGTCGCATATATTGTAAGCAAACTACTGTCTCATTCAGACCTAACCATTGCATTAAGAGCTCATTTTACGCCAATATTAATAAGTAAATTATTTTCCCCAAAACCCAGTGTTTTAAAATAAGTTAATAATGTATTCTCGATGAACACATGGTATATACAGTATTATGAGATTATGTTTTATATGTAAAAAATTTAGTTATCAACATATGCTTCACTTCATTAACTCTTTAAACTCCGCAAACCATTGCTATAACTTATTCACAGACCAGAAATTTTAATGAATATATTATTTTTAGCATAAAATTGAAATTATATTTTTTGTTACGCAATTGGGGAAACTCAATGAATGTTTGTATTATTCATAGCATAGGAAAAAATTAAATATTATGTAAAAGTGATGTCAATGAATGGATGAAACAAAATAAGTCGATTATATTAAAGTAATTTTATTGTTTCATTTTAAACTGTTTTTGTTGAGCCAATAAACACCTGCAGTGAACATCAAAGTAATACTAAATTTAATGTCTAATGATAGCAAACCTCTTAAGTATATTCACGTTTTAGTTTTGAAAATAATATTCTTTAAAGAAGTCACGCAATTGGAAAGACAGACGAGACTTAACACTGGGCTCTCATATCAATTGTATAATATATATGACTATATGTGTAAAGCATTTGGATATGAAATGATCGATTAGTAGGTCTAGTAGTCTGTCGTCTAAGTATGTGTTTGTGTGACACCACATATATAATACTCAAATATATATATATATATTACTATATTGTGACTTCTATTGCAAAAACAATACAATACTTACTGTTAGTTATTATATAAATACAGGCATTTATAATAATACTTATTTCATGTGCTTTACTCAACAATCTTTTCATTCAAATTAGTTTAATATTGTTTGATAAATAAAATAAGTTATGAAAACAAGTAAAATTACATACTTTGTTAAGAATATAATTAAACAGATACTTATATAATTTATGCTTTGTACCTTATACTCTGTATATTCTATATGTTTTTTCAATAATAAAAGCTTATAATTATAATTTTAAAGTTATAAGTTACATCTCAAAGTTAGTTCCTGTTGGAATAAAAACATTATCCATTAAATAAATGCTTAAAATGATCGAGAAATATACTTTAAATCAGATAAAAGTTTTGAATATTTATGTGAATTTTAATTTTGCAATAAATTAGCGTAAAATTCAAGAAATCATTGCCAAAGGATATCGTTATGATATCATTAATATTAAAAATTGAAGCAAAATTTATCTGTATATTGGGGGATAAAGTTTGCAGTGAATTTATGAAAAAATTGATTTTGAATTCATAGCTCAAGTTTTGATTTAATTATAGTTTTGGCAAAACGTCTATTTAGCAAAAGATAACATAAGAATAGCTAAAAAGTATGAGAGTTGTGTTGAATTGAATTGAATGGCAGTAAATGTGCGCAAAAGACAAATTCGTGATGAAATGTGCAAATATTGTGTTGCTATAGAGCTATAATGTTAGCGATATATACAGTACGCTACGAACAGAATATACAGAATATATGGGTATATATGGTATGAGCGCCACAACCGAGTGTATGACTGGTCGACACCGCTTCAGATAACAGTTCGCTTCACTCAACTCACACCACATCACACATCAAACAGTAGTCATACATCCTATTAGTCGCAAGACATGAACAACTGTTTCAGTTTGTGACTGTTGGCCACGTATGGGGTGCGACCATTATGTGTGTGAACTCGAGTTATTAATATGTTATGGGAAACACAAACACTCGGATAAGTCTTTGGATATTCTGTGCTTTATTCGGAGGTAAGACTTTATAAGAGTTTTTACTTTTTAATGCATCCGAGCGAAAGAGATGCCAACAAATATAAAGCACTCAAAAGCTTTTATTAGAAAACACTTTATGGTCGCAAACTTTTCAGTGACAAACCATTGCTGGCTATGAGTTGTTGTAAATATAGTTTTCTCAAAATAACGCACAAATAGAGAGAGAATTAATATCAATGTAATCATTAAAGCAATAAAACCCAAACTCTGAGAGGATTAAAGGATGTGTAGGGATATGTTGGATGTGAGAACATGGAAAATGTATGGCATATTCAGGATATGAACAAATTATTATTAAACATAATTTGTATTTAAGTTGGTATTAATGTTTGCCTCATATTATATTAAGAAGCATGTAACTGTTTATTATTTCTGTTTAGTCTATAATTATATATAATTATCTATTAATATATTAATTTATGAAATACGAGTGAAAAGCAATTTGTTTTGAGTTAAATGGTTTGTTTAAAAACATTTGGTCAACAAATTATGATTAGAGAAAAAGTGAGATCAGAATTGACACGAAAAATAAGAACAAAAGTAATAATTATATGTATATTGCATTGCATTGTATTAGTTGACCATTAAGTGAAAGCTATTCATTGCAACCCTAATGAATATCAATGAGAAGAATTGACAATTAATTAATTAAATTCTATATTTATTGAACTCATCAATTAAATATACATCAGTTTGAGAACAATTAGTTCATATGACATATATTTATGGCAACCATACTATCACTCAATAGTGAAATCAAGTATTGTTAATAAGTCTGTTTGTGTGTGTATTTGATAGTGAATTACATTTATTCGTTGGATAACACGAAACATACATTTTGTGAGTCATTGCAAAGTTTTATGTCTATTAGCCCTCATTAGAATGAATAAGAAATGCATAGCATTTGCATCCAAGGCATCAACACCTGCAGAGTAGAAGTGCTCACAATTTTTTGATGACACAAAATAGCACTTTAGTGTCATATGAATCTGATATTATCGCCAGTTATATATAACTTATTTACCCATTGATCTAATGTCTATCGATATTCAAAAGGCAGAATGCAATACAAACCCCAATATGTGCTGCTTTTGAAGTATTGCTAAATGAAAGGGATTTTTGACAAACAGATGAAAAATTTATCGCTTATTGAATGGAAATCGATTTGCTTTCAACACAAAGAATACAATTTATTGTTTTCTCTCATCAGTTCATTAATGCCTATGAAATAAAATGTTTGACCCAATGATAGTCATATAATTCTGTAGCGATATTCACTGCTATTTAGCCAAATAACCGTCGGGTGCGTCCATATTAAGCCTCAATTGACTGCAAATCTTTTCTCTCATTTCAAATATTGGATATTCTTTTGCCGTTTTTTCCTTTTGATACACTTATATGAAGTTAATGTCTACAAATCGCCCCCAGCTTTACATCAATGAACTCAAACGAACTAACTCTCGCTCTCACTGGACAGACAACAACTCCATTGCCTGTCCATGTGATACAGAATTTAATGTTTTTCAGCAAATATTGTTCAATAATTCAGACGATTGTTTAGAAAACATTTAAACAAATAAAAAAATTTTGAAACATATTAAATTTATAAAAGATTTTTCCCGTTTAATAACTCGTGCAATGATTGACTTTATTTAAAGCAGTTTTATAAACTGAGCTTTAAGTGCACTACACGTTGAGAATATTAATGAGAATCACAAATAACAAAACACTGTTTTTTAATTAATAGTATTCTTAACAACCCATAGAAATATTAGTCATAATAATTAGCGAGCAGTCTTTTTTAAGTAGTATATCGAGGGCTACAGTGAGTACTACTCAGTGACTGCCATTGAGATAATATGTAACAAATGATGAATATTTTCTTACTGTCTTGTGTCCACTCCTACACTACAGTTCACCTCATGTTCTCATGTGTTGTTCGTATCCATAGTTATATGTCTTTTATATCATAGAAATGTATGGTATGTTTCACAATGAGAACAAATGTCATATAATTTACTCGTATTACACACTCAACGGTGGCATCAAATGTGAGATTGTATTTAAATTCTCACAACGTTTTGCTCTTTTTGTCATACATTGTGTCTGCAATATATAGTGTATGGCATATACCATACTGTATACCATTCCATACCAGACCTCCCCGTATATATCATTATATCATACCCAATATATTGTGTATGCGATCCTTGAATAATGTGTTTACCGTAAAAATTACACTGAATCATAAGCTCTCTCTCTCTCTCTCTCTCTCTCTCTCTCTCAATGATCTTTATCACAGTCTCTCGCTCTTACAATAACTCTCAGCTAAAAATGTGGATCTGTTTAGTATTTTATTTTACAATAAAAATTTACAGCAAATTAGATATATCATACACAGTATATCTTTGCTGTTTGTAGTGTTTTCAAGAATTAAAAATAGCATAACATATGAACACAAGTACTCATTTGATTGTGAGTTAGGATTTGATTGCAATGATTGTAGGGATGAATTGAAATCAGATTTTGTCGTTTATTCGGTTGAGTCTAAAAGTTTTCAAGTTAACAACTGAGTGAAGACTGAATGTGGTCTCAAATTCTTGTTGCGTGTGTCATATCAGTCCATACAATCAGAGTATGGGTTGTGTTGTGTTCACTGAAATCATCTCAAAATAAGTCTTTGTATCGCAAGTGAGGCGCGAAAAGCAATGGAAACATAGGTTGGAGTGAATGAGTAGAGAGAGAGAGAGAGAGAGAGAGAGAGAGAGAGAGNGGTTGGAGTGAATGAGTAGAGAAAAAGAGAGAGAGAGAGAGAGAGAGAGAGAGGAAGGATAGGATAGGAGTGGAGTGAAGACAATGCTATGAAAACAGGGCTAATGTCTGAGAGATTCATTAGTTTGCTTTTGTGCTAAATTTAGTGAACACTATTGTCTTGTGTTGTCTCAATGTCTGCATCAGTCAAACGGCTGGTCATTGAATCGAAGAGTTGCGGTCGTGTTAGTCGTGTCAACCCATCTCTTGCATCAAATCAAATGCAAACCAAACATATGAATAGAGAGTGAAAGTCAGTGCTCACTAAACAAGCACTTTATTTATGCCTTTCATTTGCATCGCTACTGTTTTAATGACTTTCGCCTAATAAAGAGTTTAAATAAAACAGAAACCATTGGATGCACTCATGTTTGAGGCAAACCCTTCATTATTTACATTACATTACTCGCCAAAGGGGTTGAGAGAGAGAGAGAGAGAGAGAGAGAGAGAGAGAGAGAGAGAGAGAGAGAGAGAGAGAGAG